CGCCGCCCCTCCGCCCGTCCATCCTCGCCACTTCGCCACTCCTCGTCGCCATGTCCAGGTGAGCCGATAACTGAAAGAGAGAGGTTGTTGGGCCAGGCCTGAGGGTTCAAAGAACCCTAAACCCTAAAAGGTTAAGGTTTGGGTGGAGCGCCAGCGGGGGTGGGATTTGTCCGCGGACGCGGCGCGCGTGTGAATGGTGAGGGGGGGCGTGAAAGCAGGTTGGATAGCCCCCCCGTGAACGCACACGCGCGCTTGACCATCGACACCCTAAACCCTAAAACCCTGAACCCTAAAACCGAAATTGGATCGGCCATTTGAGTTGGTCCCTCTCCTCTCCTGCCCTCTACCTAGACTCACACACCTGGTTAGCGTAGCTCACTGTGAGGTACCCTATTTGGTTGCGCTTCTACTTTTCTCCCATCCTCTGCCTGCACTCACACACCAGGTCAGCTCTCTACCTGGACTCACACACCCGGTCAGCTCAAATGAGTGCGGGGTGACTTTGCTGGTGCAAATGCTGTTCAGTCCTCTACCAAAACTCCCGCTCCTGGTCATAGACAAATTGCACCGCTCGCATCACCAAGGCCCCCTTAAACATACATTTTCACTACCTTTTTTGGACCCTCTATTTTCGCTCTCCCCAACCAGGCGCTGACCTGCCGGGACCCCTGCGACCACCCCCCCCACACCCCCTATTACTTACTTCGTTCGCCCATCAAGGACTCAGCCATGCCTATCGGCTGGCTTTCGTAATATATGTACATAGTCATATCGCATAATTCTTTCAGCCATGTTCACACGTCAATAAACTGCCTTTGGCCTAGCCATGTGAGTAACGAACTTCGTTTGCGTAACTAACTTCAGCCTAGCCTATCGGTTAGCTTTCGTAAAATACCAGCCAATGAGAAACCTCACTCAAACTTTGTCGATTCCAAAACAAAGACCTTGTCAGTGTTTTGTATATAGTTTTCATTGGTCTACCATCCGTTGCAACACAAGATAGTTGGATTGTGTATGCTGCTTCGAGAATGGCACTTTTTTCAACAGCAAACAAATCAAAGGTGAAGCTTTCTGGAGCAATGGTTGTCAAACTTCCGTTCGTCGTTCAGGATCAATGTCAGCGGGTTGGATCCTTGTTAAAACTTCATAGGTAAAGTCGAGAAAAACATCCTTATATGGTCTTGGGACCTTGATGATGCACAAAACGAAAATTACATCAAACACACCAACCCCCCAACACCACACCTCAGCTGTAAATAACACAATCGGCTGCACAGGTGACTAACCTCGTGTCCCCAAAAGCACGTGCAATTTACTACCGAACAAACATATAACAACAATTTAGCTGCCTATCAGCAGTGACCAAACCCTCACCTAGACTGGATCACTGTTTTCCAGGTTGCCATTCCTCTTCACGTGGCACTTGAGAGCATGTGTCTTATGATGGGTAGCGAAGCCCGTGGTATGTGTCAAAACAGGATCAATCAACCTGCAGCCGGTTTTCCGCGTAGCAAATCATGTCTCATGCAGGTCAAGGACTTGCAGTCCCAAAAATGCTCCATGTAGGGGCTACGAACAAATGAGCCCGCTATGGTGGGATTGCTGCACTGTACAGAGATCCAAAAGCAACAAACTCCAGACCAGCCATCGTGGGACCTCATAGAATCTTATGTGGCTGTTGCAATTACAGGGCCTCTACAATTGCGTCGAGTTACTTGGTCTGTGAGCAACAGCTGCAAACTACAGCAGCAGCAGCAGCAGCAGCGGCAAACTACAGCAGCAGCAGCAAACTACAGCAGCAGCAGCAGCAAACTACAGCAGCAGCAGCAGGAGCAGCAGCAGCAGCAGGGCGCCCCTTGCCAAAAAGAAGTGTGATGTTGGAAGGATTTGCAGGAGAACCTAAGCATTGATTTCCGCTTGGGACAAGTATCCAGTTGTTGAAGCACGCTGCATTCTTACTTTGAATTCCAGCAATAGCTTGTGAAGAGTCATTGGAAGAAGGTATAAATTATCATACTGCGGCAGAAGCATGTGGCATAGTAATTCAGTTTTGTCAGCAAGATCAGCAAGCATCAACCCATATGTGTTTCCATAAAACACAACCAAGTCAGAGTCCCTCTGCCAGATCTGCCAAAATCCGCGCGACAAACTTGAGCTTCGGTGCGCAGAGCTTATGGTGCAGTCCGAAGGCCTCAAGAGCAAAACCATGCAGTTTGTTTGACAGCTCAGGACCGATCTTGGGAGGATGATGATGATGATGAGCACGACATGGTGGTGACAATAATGTTGTGTCGGGGGACAAGTGTTGACGTTAGTTGTGCGTGCCAACTGGTTTCACAACATTGTCATCAAATAAAGAGCATTGTCATTGATGTACATTAATGTCACAACGTTGTTGTCGGAGCAGTTTGGTGGGGACACAGCAGCTGGACTTAAGTTCCACTAGGGGAAACGCAAAAGAGAAAGATCAGGTAAAACACACACGCAATCAGTATGAACAACAACCAAGACGCCACGAAACCTGTAGTTTAGACACATGTGACGTGACACAACGTGCAAAGGCTGTGGGGCCGTTGCGGCGCCCGCCACCTTGTTTTTGGAGAGCTGAAACAATGGCCAAGCACACTTCCAAGTTTCGTTACGCTTTTGCGTAGCCAAAAACCTTTCACCCGATGAGCGGGTCTACAAACTCTACAAATGTTTGCAGGATCTGCTGCGAGCTGAAACTTTAAACTATCAGTCAGCCACACTGGTTACAAGGCAAACGCAAATGATCTATGTCAATATACCTTCGACACCGCAGTGCCTCTCAAGGAGCTGCCAAAATGTCAAAGGTACGTGATTGCCAAGATATTTGCAGTGTTCAAAGCAGAATCTGTTTCGGTATGTCAATGTGGCCTCGAGCAGCTGCTCAAAATATCTTCAGGTTGGTGGTCGTTCACTACAAAAGGGAGGTGCGGACTGCTTTCAACTTGGCATTGGAGGTTGGTGCTTTCCTTTGCCCCAAAGACATGCATGCTGCATAAGCACAAAATTTCAGGATAGTTGGTTGCATGGGCCTGTAAATCCAAGCTTTCGAACGTCGCCAAACCGATGCGAGTGTCCATTTGATTGGCTGGATCGGTTCTGGAGTTGACAGACGACGTGCCCGCAAGAATACATTAAATTGACATTCAAGGTCTTCTACCACACTTTGAATTCACAGCCGCTCATGCCGGCTTGAAGCACAGCTAGGCTGACTGGCCCCTTTGCACAGCCAGCTATGCTTGAAAACTGTTGGAGCGGAAAAAACCATCCGAGACCGTCAGTCCACAATTGCCTTGGTGTCAAACTGTAGAATAGACAAGGTTCAAATCAAATCGTTAACATGTGCACTACCAAAATGACATAAAGACTGGCAGCAGGATTTGCGCACATTTCTACAGTGCAGGAATTGAGCCCAAACCACCCCAGCCAACGGCATGCCCATCTGATTCCACGTGCGCTGGCTGGTTGCCTGTAGAGCTGCGTGCCATGGCAAATGGTCAAACTGCGATACTTACGGCAAACAAAACCAACTGCTGATGCAAACAAGCGCGACAACATTGTAGCCTGTGTGGCTCTTTCATCCTGAAGGTCGGACCTGGCTTCTACACTTCTACATGTTTCTACGACAAACACACCTGCAATGAGTAACAAACCTAATTTGCAGCAGTCTTTTTACTTTTCTGGCCAAGTGAAGGCCGAGGGCTAGACCATGGCCATGTAGGCCAAGTAAAGGTGCCCTGAACAGGCCTCAGCAATTTTTTTTGGTAAACTTTGGTTGTTTCACAAATTTCCAAATTAATACATATTGACAGTTTTCACTCTTTGAGAGGCTTGCTTCTTTTCGATATCTTTTAAATTGATTTCGGACGGGTCTTCAAATACCTGTGCCAGAATGTGCAACCAAACATTTTCGATCGAACCTATATACCTACCCTACTTGTACATATAATATATTCATCTCTTGGTAAATGCCGTCTGATCGCTGCACATTTGCATGGAGTGAATTCTCTGAGCATTGAAACCACCATGTTCCCCCAACTTGCAAAGTTGTATATAAGGCCCATAACGATTGTTAATGTGATGACGCTTCACAAACCTCTTGTTTCACGGATGGCATCTGTGACTGCACAAGAATAGACGAAAATTGTTTGTTTACTTGTTCAATGAACACGGCACCGCCTGCCACTTCTTTGCGTTGATTCCTCGAAACGCAGCTTTAGCCTTGTGCGCAGGCTGTGGGGTGTACCGCTCGCGGGCTTCATGCGCACTTGAACTTATATGATGGCCTTCACCCGGTTCTCCTTGTCGGATGGCGCCACAGACCGGATCAAGACCTGTGCGTTTCAGCATCACGTAGCACGCCCTTACGACATTTGGGCTTGTCAAATTCCAGAATCTGTGCGCCCTTCGCGCCTTCAGCACTTGGTCTGGGTGGCTCCGCATGATTGCTGCATAAACCTGGCCCACTTGCAAGGCGAAACTCAACACGCAGCATGCCCACGACTAGTAGAAAGTTCCGTAGTAAGAAGCCTTTTGCCGCTAAAGACATGCTTTGCGGCCTTGATCTTTACACATGCGTCTTGGTAGGCCCCTCTTTGCCATGTTGTGTGTGGCGGCAGTGCGATTCCAATGGCCCAACACCATGAGTCATGACGTTGGAGATTTGTACTGGTTGGTTGCGTCGTCGATACACGCGCGCAAATCACCTTCGCGTCCCCCACCTCCGGTTTTGGGACCCTATTCAATAGGTCTTTCCATGTGAACAGCCAACCGTCCACCTCCATCGTGCACGATGTCTAGTATACGCGGTTCTTCTCTTCTGGAAACCTTGTTGTATATTCTTCCGTCGGCAATGAGCTTCGCCCCCCCCCACAGTGCGCTGTGGCATGCGTGGGCCAGAAGTAACTTGTGCCCTCAAGATCCGCTTCAACTGATTTTTCGCCCTCGCCCGCCCCTACTTTCCCTTGCCTGAGCTTCGCCGGCCTGACCTGTGTGAGATTTCGTATAAATCTTTGAGTGTGGAAGAGTTGTGGTGTTGGAGGGCGCGCAACTTGCGTTGGCCCAGCCTGCTTGTCAAGCTTTCTGGCTCTGGGACCCTCCGCCTGCGCCTCTCTTCTTTTGAAGGGTTTGAGTATGGCCAGCCCCAGGGCAAAAGCGAGAAGCAGCAGCGCAAATTTACCCCAGGCTGTTCTACGAAGTGCGGCGCGGTGGATTGTTAGCGTGGCCTTGAACCGAACAACTACCTGCAATTCATCAGGTAGGGATTTCTATCTACGGCCACCTATTCATCGAAAGAACAAGTCTGCCTACCAGGTCGCGTCTAAGCCTTACTGCCCCTATGGGCATCCGCGAAGCCTAAAACACATGTTGAACAGTTTCCTGGAAAAGCGTCCTTTCGTGCGTCGGTGAAGGTGATGGGCCCTGGGCTTCTGAAAGCGTCCAATTCGAAATCGGTTGTGGACGAATGTGGGCGATGAAACCTCCCAGGTCCACAGTGCCTGACAGCCCACTGACTGAGGAAGTTTCTCCGATCTAGGAGAGCGCCCCCTTCAGTCCCTCCGCTAGCCTTCGTCTCTGTCCACTTGCAAGTCACTCACGCGGTCAGGATAAGCGCCTTGCAAGTCTCAAACCGCTAATGACAAACGCAGAAAAGCAAATTGGGGTATTGATCCTATCAAACTAGGGAGGTGGAGCGTTGAGCGGCCTTGCCTTGTCATTGAGTTGTCAATTCTCTTCCTTGTCCAAGTCAACCTTTACACCTTCCTCGCTTCGAGGTCATTAAAGGTTTCTCATGGTTTTTCTCGCGTCTGTGAGCTGGTCTCATTTTTGGACCAACGGGCAAAGTTAAGGGCGGCTTGCCGGAGGAAACGCAAAGCCATATATATTTACGGGCGCGTGACTGACGGCTATGAACTGAAACTGTCCGCTTCCCTGTCGCGTTGGCACCTCCTTGCCGTCCTTGCCCGTCGCTCGCCGCTCGCCCCGCTCGTCAAAGCTCGAGGCATTTTTGCAACTCCAAGCGTCACCGTGCCTCAATCCCTTTTCTTTATTCCAACCTGTGTTTGGGTAGGGCCTAAAGCATGTAAGAGTTGCTGCTTGCGTCAATAGCTTCACAGCGCTGCGACCTACCTACAGCTGCCAAACAGCATCCTCTCACTTCTCTGCCTTGAAGCCTTCTGGCGCTTTGTTGATGCCAAAGGAACTCCCGCAAACAATTTCACGCCGGGCTCCACTCTATATCTTGCTAGACCTTTACCGGGAAGCTGCTCAGGTCGCCTCAGGGTCCTTCTCTCCAGAGTCGCCAACCAAAATGAACTTCCGCTCCGGAAACTGCGATAACAGACTCTCCACCTGACAGCAACGTGCCCTCAAAATGGCACGCCCGAAATGTTCTTTCAGTGGAACAAAATAAAGTCAGATTGCCCGAGCAATCCGGATTGGCATCTTTCCAAGGCCAAACAACGGCTTTTCACGTGTCCCGGCCTGTCTAAGCTTGAAGTTCGCTCGGTTTCTCCCAAGCAGCGGGCACAAATGAATGGAGGACACTGGGAAGCCCTCGCGTTGGTCAAAAACGGGTGAGAAAAAAAGCGTTGATTCGATTGCCATCAGCTTTCAAAGCTATCATAAAGCCGGGTCAAAAAGAACGAACATCGAGTATGGACAGTTCGCGTGCTCTGGCACTCTGAAGCTGCGAGTGGCAAGCGCCTTGCTGCGCAAGAACTTGGCCAAAGGTGCGTAAAGTTCTGGTGGACCTCGCAATTGAAACAACACAAACAACCAAACACTTGGGCCGAAACAAGATGGAGCCCACGAGCCCAAGTGTACACACGCCCTCGAAAACAAGCGGGCAATCACTGTTTGACGCTCTGGTGGGACACTCTTGCGGGCGACTCTTGTAGGAGACGCTCTTGTGGGACACTCTGGAAGAACACTCTTGTTGGGCACTCTTGTCGGAAAAGCTTGCTGGACTCTCTTGTCGGACAATTCTTGTGGGAGACTGTGTCTGTGTGGGGCATTGTGGAAAACTCTTGTGGGATACTCCTCTTGTCGGGCACTCTTGTGGGAAACTCCCACGCCCTTGAATGAGGACTCTCTTGTGGCATGGTGTTGTGGGACACTCTTGTGGGAGACTCTTATGGGGCACCCTTGCAAGACATTCTTGTAGGACACCCTTGTAGGGAACACTTGTGGGACATTTTCGGGGTGGGCGCGCTCTCTCAAGAAGCAGTCATGCGTCGAGCCTGCGCAGCAAGCGTTTTGCACGACACTTCCTCCGAAAGTGACGTGTCAAAAGTCTCGAAATCAAGCGCTTCGTAAAAAAGACTTCCTCCAAAAGTCACGCGTCACGAGACGTACTTCAGTGAAGCGGGAAATCTCATCTCGCAATCCCACCCCCCAACCACGCCCGACCACGCACCAATCCCAGTCACAGGGACATTCACCGCCACCACAGGTCGCAGCCTCACGCTTCCCTGCGCCTGCCTCGAAGCTTCAAGTTCGACGCCTCCAACACGCACGAAGGACTGCACCACACCTTCCACGAAAAGTGACGACATGGCATCTTCATGTCTCCAGCGTAAATTTGCACCACACCACAAGTTCGGAATGCTTTCGACACTTTCTGAGCGCGCTCACATCCACCAAAATTGCAATTTTAGCCGAGACTTCTCACGAAGACGCAGCTTTGAGGCAACAGCCTCAACTGCAAATCCCACTGTCAAAGCGACATCCAACACCTCCAACAAACCACCATGGGAACGCCAATCCCACGTCACAGCGAAGGAAGCTGACGATCTCCCCTTCAGACACTAACGTCATCAAAACGCAACGATTGCGCGACATTTCACATGTTTCGTCCACGTGTCACGTGTCATGCTTGTCACCACAAAACCCTTTCGCGCACTGTCAGCGCCATAGCGGCGCTACGACAACGTGTCGCGAACCCCAAACACAACGCGTCCTGAATTGAGAGCCACGCTCTTCGATACATAGTGGAAGCTAGCCTCCAACTTTTCCCAGCCTCCAAAATAAGGTGCAGAAAACCCTCACAAAAAGGCCTGGATTGCAGCAAAGAAAAGCTCATAATTTACACGTGGCCGGCCGCCAAAACACCACATTGGAAAAAAGCAGGCCAGGAGGCTAGGAACCCATTCTCTATTTGATCTTTGCAAATGATGGTTGCTCAGGCTGATGGTCATGGACCGTAGCTGCAGGAGTCTTGTGAACTTGTGCACTGCAAATCTAATGCAGCAAGACGCGCCCCTGCCTTGATATAGCTTTGCCATACCAGGCCTCGCAAAGCATCTTTAGCAGTGTTTGAAGCAAGCGCAAAGACAGAAACCGTAAAGCATATTTGGAACGCTGCAAAAAGCCAAGAGGCACATCAACAAAAGTCTTCAGGAAGGTGTTCTGCAAGACAGCCTGCAAAGCTGAGCCAAACATAGGAAACATTAAGCAAAGTGGTCAGTAGTTCAATGGTCCTTGATGCCATGAAAGACCTCTGTCACCTCAGCACGATGAAATTGAACTCGAACGTGTTTTACAATTTTTTGTCGCCTTGACAGTGTCATCAATGTCGGAGATAATTCCAACTCCTTGTGGGCCTGAGAGGAGCATTTCACTTACCAAGCTCAGTGTTGGGTCTTCATGGCAGGCTCAGCCACAAACGAACCATGGCTGCTACCTTAGTTTTCATTTGTAGTGGCCGGTCTTCTTTCCCAGCGCAACCAAACACACCACACTGGCCATGAATATTGGTACAAATCAATGCTATATTGACCAGAATTAAGCTGATCGATATGCCAGGCGGCCAAATGAACATGAACGTTCGGATAGACAATGTTTTTTGCACTAAGTGACAACTTCTCTAGTGTCTATTCTATTTCCCTTCTGTATTGAATGCCCGGTCCAAGCTCTCCAGCAGCTTTGACTGGAGCGGCTGACAGCCTACCATTGGCAGGAGCTGTGTTGAGCTTCATAAATGCATTAGTTTCAGAATACACACAATTGAAGTCAGCTGTTCTAACGGCCTTTGAGCATCCCCAGCCGCCTTATGCCAAACGTAAAGGGCAAAGTTTTGCAGCGTTTGAATCCAACACAACACAATCATGTCAATGCAATGCCAAAGATAGGTTTGCCATCGCCCTCTTGCAATGCTTGAAACAACATGGATAAAATGTCCTGGAATTCTTCCTTTCCCTGTCCCTCTACAGTACGCAAAACCACGCAAAACACATGAAATCCAGGCTACTGCAACTTCTGCCAAGCGCACCTGCCACGCGTGCTCGATGTCGTCAAGTCAAACGCCACAAAAAATGTTCCAACAAAAGAACATGTTGATTCCCAGGGTGTGTCACACGAAAGCCTGCAAAACAGAGTTTCACACAGCGCAGGCCTCGACTGAAGCCTGCTCCATAAATCGATCAGCCAACCTCACGCCCAGCTGTAAAAACATGCAGCAACACTAATTCACCAGTCTGTCAATACGGCGCAAATGCACAAGGTTCGCACGGGATGTTGTCGTCAGTGAACCTGACATTTGCCTGCAGAGCTGATTTGGCTTCGCAAAGCTTATACTTTCTGAGCGTAATGGCCTGAATCAAGCCGCTGCCGTCAGTTGGTGGCAATTTCTGCCAACCTATCGCAGCGCTCGATCTTTGTTTTCCAAAACATTGCAATTTTATTGTAGGAACATGTTGCAATATCCGCCGACCCCACTCGTGGGGTGAGGCGTGACTGTTGATGAAGGCTAAGGCTATGATTAAGGCTAAGGCTAAGGCTAGATTAAGGCTAAGGCTATACCTCCCCTACCCCTCCGGAGCCTTGTTGCAGTGACGAAAAGATTCCTTTCAGACCTTTTGCGGAGTTTTTTCCAGCATTTTCTGTGGTTCTTCTAGGTAGTTCTGTGGTTGTCTAAAGTCTCCATGTGTTTTTTTTGGTTCCCTGATTTTCAACAAAAAATGCTAACCCATTTTCCTCGATTTTCAATCGTTTTCCGCTGGATTTCAAGGATTTTCTAAGGTTTCTGTAAGATTTACTCATACCTTTCGTACCTTGTGCGAGGATGTTTCTAGGATTTTCTCTGCTTGTCTAGGGCCTCCGTGTTGTCTTTTTGGCGGGTTCCCAGATTTTCAAAGAAAAATACTAACCCATTGTCCTCGATTTTCTAACGTTGTCTGCTGGATTTCTAGGATGTTCTAAGGTTTTTGTCAGTTTTACTCTCCACCCGCGGGGAAAAATAAGCACGGTCCCCGGGCTCGAATCCCGGGCTGCTCGCGGCCTTGTTCCTTGCTAGTGCCCTTAGTTTTTGCTACTGCTACAGTTTCCAACATTGTCCGCTGGATTTCTAGAATTTGCAAAGGTTTTTGTAAGATTTACTCACGCCTTTCAGGTCTTTTGCCAGGGTTTCTTCCAGCCACTTCCCTGGGGGTCGGCGGCTGCCAGGCGTTAGCCTGGTTAAATATATTGTCATCTTTGTCTTCTGCAAACCCTTTGCGTACTTTTGGCTTTTGACTGGGGGCGCTGCCTGATTCTCCAAAAAACTTTGCTGTGAGGGGTTCTCACTTCTTGCATAAAAACAATTTTTGACCAAGATGATTGTGGCCGCAATTGTGGCCCTTTTCCTCCCACGGCTCTTCTCGAGGATGGGCTGAGATGACTTGGCTTTGTCTCCTATTGCCGGCAAAAAGAAACATCAAGTTGCCGCTATTGCTTCGGGTCGATGTTGGTGTAATGTTGTGTGCTGGAGTGATTTGGGGTTCCAAGTTTGAGGCCCAGGTCTTGCTTGCCTTTTGATAGTCAACAAACTGCCAAGACGAGTTCACTTGAGCAAGCGGCAAAGCGCCCAAGCAAACTACGGCTCATGTTGATGTTATCGATTGTGTTAGTTTGATGCTAAGTCGGATATCGCTTTCCATGAATTGGGAGTTCCCAAGGAACTTTTGACATGTGGTTCCGTCAAAACCAGCTGAGCAGCTGCTTGTCAAAGGGACCGGCCACTCCCTAGCAGTTGCCAGTGCGACGCTTGCCTTTCTAGAACGAAACTCCGTTGACAAACACAATTGCTCAAACACAATTAATTGTTGACAAACAACAATCACGCCAGCAACCTGTTGTCCATATGGCGCATGCGAAGTCGTGAGAACATTGGCATCATCTTCTGACCGATACGGCAATCTTTTTGCGCAACAACCTGCTATTATTTCAGACTCGAATCTTTGTCGGAAATACCCAAAGTCAAGGTCACCTCAACCCACAGGTGCAAAGGTCTCAGTCCATACTCCACTTTCATGAAGCAACAAGATTCCAGAGCTTTACAAGATTGCTCCTTTATACGCACGCGATGGTCTTGTGGTCGGTAACCTGTCGACATCACTCCCATCCGATCCCACCATCACCACCACGGCCCCGCTGAAAAATCATGGCACACACCCCAGACTTGACTCAAAGCTACAAAAGCTCTGAAGACATGACACTCTGCTTTCCCGGCTCACGTTTCCAAAGATTGCGTTGCAGGAAGGTCCGTTGCTCAGTTGTTCTAGTCACTAGTCACCACCCCTTTAACAGGCTTGACTTGATTGCTTGCGCAGGGGGCTTCAGAAACGGAGCGACCGCTGTGCGGTCTGCCAGCGGCGCAAACAGCTTGCCGGTGACCACCAAGTCACTAGCTTCATCGAATGCGCTCAGCGTTGTGGAACTTGAGACAATAATATTCCACAAGCAAGATCAAAGTATTGTAAGTGGAACATGATCTCATCGTTCAAGATATCGTTTTTGGTAGTTCACTATATCGATCTAGTCTATTGAAAACAACCCACATCATGGGGGGAACCCTCGAAGAGTATCTCTTACATGAACAGTTTCGCCTGTTGCTCATTTTGGATCACGTTGCCAAACAAGAGTCTGTACCCAAACTTCAGCAACCTGGCCCAAACATGCCCTGACAACAATTCTGCAAACACAAGCAGCACTTCTGAACTTCCTCCAAGAAAGGTGCTATCTTGAGGGCATTTGCCGTCTTGAGGGCACACGCAGCAGCTGGTTGCTTTGTCAACTTTGTAGCGCAATGTAACTTGGTTGTTATTCTTGAGACAACTTGAAGACTTCGCATTAAAGACGTTTTCTTTGCAGTTTTGGTGCCCACCAAATGCCGCATATGCCGGCAGGGCTTCGCATTTGTTGGGGTGCCTGTTTGATTTTGGAAGGACTTGTTTGAACAAATACAGACACAGTGCCTCAAAACAACTCCAGCTGTTTGCTTGCCATCTGCATTTTGAAGTGCCCACAAAAAGAATCAGCAAATAAGCCTCAGTCAGTGCGTCTGCATGATACTTTTTTCCATTTGTCCGCCGCCCAGGAGCAATCACTTTGCTTTCAATGTCTTGAAGGCTGTCAGCTGTAACAAGTCTCACAGCTATTGCTTCTTGCTGGATTGACATGGGCTGGTTAGTGATGCTCCTGCTTGCCTTCCTTCAGAAAACAACTTTTTTGGAACTTGCAGAAAATAGGGCAAGAGCTGGCAGCAAGAACATCAAAGAAACTCTCTCTCTCTCTATGTATATATATATATATGTGTATACTGTTGCAAACAGTTGGGATTGGTCGGGGTCAAGCTCATTTCTTTTCTTGCAGATCCCCACAAGCATGGAACGCCCGCCACACGCAACTCCCCATGCAATGGGGCTTGGAAGTCGTGTGAAACAACCCGGTGCGACAATCTTGGAGAATTTGGGAGGGGTTGAGGCATTGTTCAGCGATGTTCAGCCTCTAAGATGCTGCAAATTCCTGCCTTCGTCCCCGTAGCGAGGGCCACCTATACCTGCACACAAACGTTGTCGACGAAATTACAAGCAAACAGGCCGACCCAAAGCAGCCAAGCAAATGAGCTCTGCATCTGAGGAGGCAGCGAACTTCCAGGCGTTGCAAAGCGCGGTCGCTTGTGAGCGGCATCCTCACATGACTGACAGAAGGCCCAATGCCCAAACCACTCTCAATTGAGCCAAAAAGCACATCCTTTTCTTTTGACCATAGAATCGACCCCTTCAAAAGAATCTGGTGTTTCGAGAACAAAACCCAACATCAATCCATTCAGGCTCTCGACGCAAATCAATCTCATAAATAATGAACTACGCTGTTGGAAGCAGCGGCTCGTGCAGTTTGAAATGGAGGTGTGCATTGTATGCGTGGGTGCTGAAAGGGCCTGTCCTCTCGCATGTTGTGCATGAACTTATACTTTATGCGCTGAGGCTCGTGCGAACAGAACAAACCGGGGCCTTATCTCGCTCTTTCCGCCAGTGCTCAACAGTCTTTTTCTGAGACCTTGGCGCCTAAAAGGCAGCTTTTGCTGATGTCGCGCAGCCGCGGAGGCTTGGGCTGACAATGTACACCTTGGCAGCCTTTAGAGAACCTGACCTCGATGGTGACTCACAGTTCCCTGTCAGGCTGAGCAGAAGGTGAAACATCTTGTGGAAGTCCTGCTTATGCCATTGCTTCCAACAAGAATTGAGCCTCGAGCGGAAAACTGTTTGGAAGACAAAGGCTTGGGGAAACATGCTTGTCACCTTTAACAAAAGACTTGGTGGTACTTGGCAAAGCCCCTTTCGCACAAGGGCTGAGCAGCTTTATGCAGCTTTAGCACCAGCAGCAGCAGGGGCTACAAAGACACTTTCAAGAATACAGTAGTACTTTGGGCCTGTGGTGCAAGAGCAAACAGGAGGGGAACCTTGGCTGGATCTAGTGCATCAGTATATCGTCAGGAGCATTGTACACATGGCGATCGAGATGAATATGAGTCAGGAGTTAGGGCGCGCATGGGCCAAGAGCTACACAAGTGCGGCAATTGGGTTAGGACCTGGAATTCTGAAACTACTTAAGCTATTGCAACCGTTCTTCTCACTTGGTGGCTAAGTGGAGCTTGTTCTGCACACGCAGGATGTGGCGAGCACGTCGAACATCTCTCTTGGAAAGGCCCGCGGCAAGGAGTGTGCAAGAATCTTCAGAAACAATTTAGCAAATGCAGTTTCCAATCGATGAAGCAGTGGACGCAAAAGCCTTTGAGGCCAAGAAAACACCCAGGACCCGATTGTTGCGAAGGATGGCTCTGGGAAGTCATACCTCTTGAAAAGTGGAGTCCTCGCAAAGAGGCTCACAAGAACGGGAGAGAAGAATCTGAAGGAAGCGTCGGCAGTGTGGAATCTTTGTGGGAAGTCTGTAGAGAGAATCTGAAGGGCGTCTCCCTCACTTGTGCGCCTGCACGCATGTGGATACTCATCAATCAAACACTTGCGCATTGAAACTGTTTTCGGACAGGACTAAACTTAAACAAGTGGACAGAATCTCAATCTCAAGCAAAGCTCAAGCAACACTCAATAAGAAAGACAGGGCAAAATTTAGACTGCAACCCGTACATATCTGTGTGTACCATTGTATAACTATAACACTTGACACCGCCCTTTGCAAGTGGACCAGCGACTTGCGTAAATTTTGCTACAACCTCCGAGTACCTCCAAGGTGTTATACGTTGATGTACCTACCAGTAGAGTCTCGTGGCACCAGCAGCAAAACGCAGGTGAAGACCTTGTCAAATCGGGCCCCCTTTATCACATGCTCACAATCAAACAACCCTGATTTGCTTGACTGGCAACCAAGGCCAAGGAGCTGGAAGCTTCGGAAGATCAGCCGAGCTCGCTCCTGCGTTCGAACAAAGCTGCTTGCCTAGCTATTCAGCAACTGGCAAATTGCACTCTGCAAACTCTGCAAACTCTTGATTGGGCCTCGTAAATTCTAATCGCATCCTCGTTGAAGTCGCTCTCACTTACATCGTGCAACGAGCGGAAAAGTTGACGACCTGCACAGCTCATGAATGTGACACTCGATCCAAAAGCTCTGAAAGCGGTCCTGCTGGCAGGAAGTGGAGTGAGACTGTCCTTCACCAACAGAGTAATCGCTTCGTAAGCTTCCGGCCCATGGCCAGTAGCATCGCCTTTGAGGCTGAGGTTTGACAAACAGCTCAGCTCAGTCAGATCATGAAAAATGTTCTGTGTATATATATATGTACACACACATACAATAACAATACACAAAACAGCTGCGACATGGCCTTCTCTGGTGTGCCACATTAATCTTTCTAAATATCAACTTTGTGCCTCTGGACCATGTGCATGACGCCCCTGGCTCTGGCGAAAAAGCTGAACCTGCAGTTGGAGGTTTCGTAGATTGCGAGGCTGTTTAGACTGATTCAGATTGACAAACGACATGGATTGTCAAATACAGAATTCTTGAGATAGGGTCTCTTAGGGCCTCGATGGGCAGAATCCAATCCTTCCCCTGGCGCCTGCGGGGCAAACTTGAATTCTGCTAATAGAATTGAGCTAATTTTTAAAACTTTTTGTGCAAAGTCCTTGCGCTTCCACAGCGTAAGGCAATGCCATGACCTCAAACAATACTGCGCACGTAGCAAGCGGATATTCTCAATCGTGAGTGAGGTGATCACTGGATTGGCTTTTGGCTTCACCTCCAATAGCCACCTGCAGTTCGCTTGTCCCACAAGGGTAGCGAATTGGATACGAGGACTATGCGCATAATCAACACCAGTGGCAAACTGACCTTCTGACTAAGCTGCTCGTCAACTGCAGCCCACAGTCGTGCGACCTCCCAAATTTAGGTATAGTATATATATATATAAATACACCAACTTCATGTATGCTTACTAAGGTCCAAGAAAACCAAACCAAGTGAATCCAAGAAAATTAAAAAATACACGGGAGCTCAAAGTATAGCTTGGCCTCTTTGAGAAGCGTCGCTGCTCGAGTGTTCAAGCTGCCAGTCCCACTCGCCCAAACTTCCTGGAATCGAGTTTGCTTCTACAAGACCTGGTTTGCGATGATGGTCAAATGCCCAAATGAGCCTCAACATGGGAGAAATCAATGCACTGACATCATTGATGCTGTAACTGCATGAGATACAGTGCAAGACCAAGTGACAGAAACGTAAAAAGACTTGATAGCGTAGAAACTGCCCAAACCCCAAACCTTAACTAGGGGTGCTAAGACCCTGGTATGACAGGAGGGTTGCTAGGCATTACCAATGTTCCTGGGAAGGTTTCTGTCCTAGGGGTTGGAGCAACCCTGCTAAGTGTCCTGGACTGTTGCATTGAAAGCCTGCAGCCAGTCCAATGGGCCTTCGTCCGCCTGAATGCAAATGTGTTGTTTCGCCAGTCTTTAGCACCTCTTTCCTTTGGGCAAGTTTGGGAAAGTCAGCATTTTAATATGCTTCCACTCTATTCAGAAGGTCCTCGTGTTCTCTCTCAACTTCGATTTTCTGCCTCATCCGGGACGTTTCTTGCAACTGCAGCTGCTGCCTCGGGAGGAGGCGTGACGCTCAAACTCTCAAATGTTGCGTGGAATTCAACCCAAGCTGCAGCTTGCGCTGCGCTGGAGAACAGTGCTGAGATGTGTGTTGAGATCCCAGCCAAAATCAAAGAACTACCAACGATGGCTGGAAGGCCCTGTTGAGCAGTGTTGCACTCATGCGATCAGTTACCGCTCAGCAGGCATTGCATCACCCCAAAATTGGCGACCAAGTGTTTGCAGCAGGTTGTTGTAATACTACTAGTGATGCCTCACTTGCTGTGGCAGATGAAGCTGCAGCAATCACATCCTCAACAAACAATATTTGGAAGTTGAAATCCACAAAATTTTGCTGCATGAAACAATGCTATAGATCGCTCTAGTGACATATGGGCCTCCACAGCCGCCAGCTGCATTCCAGATAGCATGCGTATGGCATCCTTTCACAAGCGCCAGCACCCATCCAAAAACAACAACACCTTGTGCTTTGTTTGGCATCCAGAAACCAAAACCATCGAACACTTTCCTCGGTGAGGGTAGCAAATTTCAGAAGGGGAACCTTGGCGGCAAATGTTCAAGTACTGAAGTTGCACTTGCTTCTATTTCCAGCGAGATCACCGGTTTGAGGCCAACACTTCTGACGCTATGGCGAGGGTGAGAACAGCGCCGGCTGCAGCAAGGTCTTGCAGGCTGAATTCCGTTTTTCACAGCTCATTATATACAAACAAACCATGCGATATGTACACGGTAAACATTTTATGTATGCGTGAGTGTGTGCACGCGTGTAGAGACACCGTTGCAGCACTCAGGCTTTTGGCTTACCTGCACCCCGCGTGCGTGCTAGTTTTGATAGCTTTTCGAGTGAACCCGAAGAGTGTTCTCCGTTGACCGAGCTGCTTTTCTGCAACTCTACATTTTGGCCAATCGGGGTGAGCTCGACATGTTTCGACCATTCTCCACCCAGTCACGGAGGAGCACGTAGCGCAGGGAACTTTTGCAGAAGTCCCTATATAATCTTTGTATATCTTTGTATTGTAATGGAGTTTCAGTGGCGCTCTTAGAGTTCTTGGCGCCACTTGGCCGGGTTCGTCCCGGCACAGGGAGGTAGATTTTCGTCCTTCCTTTTCTCCTCTTCTGTGTCTTTCTTTGCCTTGAAATTTCAATCATTTTTGGATGCCTTTGAAAATTCCTGACTCCTTGTTTCTGGACTTCATGGGTTGCGTGCTTTCCGTTTCGCCTTTGCCTTCGGCCTCTTCCCCTTCTCTTTCTTCTTTAATTGTCCGGTTGTTTATATGTATATACTTACCATTGTTTACCTATATAATCATGTGTCTATGTAAACACTAGGGTGAGATGACTTAGGCCAATTGGGTCGAAATGACATACAACTTTCCCAGGGCAAGTCCTAAGTCATGTACAAATGTTATACAGGGCAATTTCATTGGCACACACTCATGACATAGGCCGTTGACCTGGTCCTGAGTCTTTTATTTTTTTGGGGGGGGTTGGTGGGGGGCATGTTCCTGGAAGATTAGAGCTAATGAAAGTCCACATGTCATAGGAACATCTTTTGCTTTATCTGAAGCGATGGACGTATGTCATAAACGGTTGAGGTGTGTGGATGTGTGTGGATTTGGTGTGTGTGCTGAACACAAAGCACACGAGATAGGCAGGCAGGGCAGTTGGCGATGTGACTTAGGAATCCTGTCCTGTCTCATTAAATTCATTAAGAACACATTACTATCTCATTTAAGTCTGCCTTTGTGCGTTTTTGCTCTAAAATTCCTATCTCTCGATGGTTTATTCATTGTTTAGATACCAAAGTCGTATGTCTTGATGCTTGTCAATATAAAATCAACTGTTTTTAGGATCTTTGGTGACAACCTCTGGCATCTCTGATTTTGAGGTTTTTCCAAGCTTTTGCTTCATGACATAAATACTTGTGGGGGGCAGGCTAAACCTTCATGACTTAGCCGCCGCAATTTGGAGGTAGTTTCACAAGTCCTGTGTCATTTCAGCCTAGTATAGTTTTTTTTGTTTTCTCCTTTCCGTTCGCGGGATCTTCTACTTGACGATACACTTAGATCCTGAGATGCCAACCACTTGAGCGGCGTATGTGCTTTTAGCTATCGCAAATGATTCAGCAGGGGGACCGTCCATGTGGGGCCATCCATGTCTCTGCGCGATGGTCCTACGAAGTGGCCACAGCACATGCGGACATCACGGCTGACCACTGTTACGTACCTAATTCCTTTTAACGTTGATAGCTACAGCCCACTATTGCAGTTTTGAAAAGACTGTTTTGCAAAGTTCGGCCGTCCTGCATTGGGAATTGGGACGGGGCATATTGAGAAACCATTTCCACTTTGAGTTGAAGATTGCGCTTTTCCTGTGTGATCATGCATCTGGATGCATCTTGCGTTTACACAGATATACCTGCGTATTGTACATCATGCTGCGTTGGTTACGGGCTTCATGTTCGTTCTGGCACTGGTTGTGCGTGGTGTTTACGAACCTCATGCTGTGGAAACACACTGGGAGCAAAGTCGATGCCAAGTAGAATAAACCAAAAAACATAAAACACGGGTGTGTATCAGTCAAACATGTTCGTCGGACTGCCCAATAGGGCTCTCACTGACCTTCCGTTAATTGCTCACTTCCTGGGTTGGGGACGTCTCACTCGTTCCCACAGGTCTAAGTTAAAAGAGATGCATCAAAAGGAAACACCCTGAAGTTTTCACCGCCCGGTGCGCCACAGACTGAATACAACAGTGCACACTGAACGCCAAGCCTTGTGGACTCCGCCAATCACCAGCAACACGCCGCGCTCACGTACGCATGTTTCCCGTTCCCCAATGGCACGGAGCCACGCAAATACACATTCCACCAGGTCACGCAAATCTGCATGGGGCAGCAGTGCAGCATCACAAACGCAATTTCGGTACACCGAGCGCCGGAAACTGGATACAAGTATGTAACATCAAACCCCGTGGACACCGCCAATCATCCCGCTCCGCAGAAGCGCGTTTACACACGCATGTTTTCGTTTCCCAGTGGCACTACAAAGCTGCTATTCTGAGGCCACAGCCCCCAAGCTCCCAGAATCCCGCGCTACATCGGTACACTTGCGCTACAAAGTTGTCTGTTCTGAGGTTCCCTCACCGTGCTGCAAAAAGTTGCCAGTTCCGAGCCACAGCTCCCAGAAGCTGCTTCCAGTGCTGCGCTTGCCAGCTCTGAGGCCGCAGCGCTTCCCATACCACATCTGCGCAGGAAGGTTGCCAGCGCTACGTGTCTACAACAGTTCAAAACCACCCGCGCTACATGTGTACTACAATGTAACGTTGCCAGATCTGAGGCCGCCGCTACTACATTGGCACCGCTGGCCACAACTACATGCGCACGACAACGTTGCCAGTTCTGAGGCCACAGATCCCAGAAGCTGGTATTTGTACTACATAGATGCCCTCAGCCCCCAGAAGCTGCTTCCAATACTACATGTGCGCTGCGAAGTTACCAGTTCTGAGGCCACGCGCAGCCCCCGTGTTACGTGTGTACATCTGTACTACAAAGTTGCGCGTTCTGAGGCCACAGCTCTCGGAAGCCGCTTCCCATACCTACGTGTGTACTGCGAATAAGAGGGCTCACCAAGGACAAAGATGGACAAAGAAGATTCGCATTTCAGCACTCGCCACACGCAACCTCCGCAAAGGGTTCGCCAAGATCATCCAAATTCGCATTTCAGCTGACGCTTGACGAGCACTTTGAGTCGCACTTTAGCTCACGTCTGAGCACTCGGCAAAAGCGTAATCAAACGTAAGGTGGAAGTCAATTTCGTTTGTCCTTGGCAAGCCCTTTGCAGGGATCGTGTCGAGTTGCCAAAGCGTGTAGCCGTCGTCGAGTCCGGTTGCCCTGCAGAACGTGGCGCAGCAAACAACTTCTGGGACTGTGCCTCAGAACGGGCAACTTTGCAATATACCAATAGCACGCAAAGCAGTTTCTGGGAGATGTGGCCTGAGAACTCGCAACTTTGCAGTGCTCATGTAGTACGGGGCAGCTTTTGTGGTCTCAGAAGCGGCAATTTTGTAATACTCCACAGAGGACGATTTGGCGTATTTCTATACAGTTTTGCGCATCCGACGCGCGCAATCTTCGCAGAGGGTCGCGTTGCGTGAGCATCGGCCGGGCCACCCCGCCGCCTCAAGAGAAGATTTAAAAGGATGTCGAAGTTGTAATTGTGTAGGTGAGTTTTGTAGACGTCTTCACTTGGATTAACACCTGTATCGACACGGTATCGAAACATCTTTATTTTTGTAAGTGTGTTGCAGCAGGTGCATGACCTGCATCTCTGCACCTGCGCGACGCCAAACGATGATGAAGATGAAGTTGCGCGGTAGCAGTCGCATCACCCACGAAAAACATGAAAAACAGCACGACGCCCTCGCCCTGCTTTCTTGAGCCATCATCAAAGGTCGGCCATGACCATGTTCACCTTGTTTGGTGTATGGGTTCACGCTCTTTTGCAAATGAAAAGGAAGTGCTATTCCTCGCGCTCCCCCTGCTGGCTATGCCAGCACCTTCAAAAGCACGCCCGCGGTAGTTTTTTTTCATCTACCGCTCGCTGCAAAGTTCAAAGCTTCTATGAGATGCTGAATCTTCGTCCGGCGTCTCCTGTCCCAATGGTCCGGATGGAATTGTTGCTATTCCCATCCAGCAAGCCATAGTGTCTGCTTCAGGCGGCTAGCCCATGAGGCCTTGTGAGGTCAATGATCGGGTCCACGCCGCCTGAGCCGTTGTCATTGGGCCACCCTCGGAGGACACACTGCCACGAGCACTCTTGTCATCGCTCTGGTGGACATCCTGCAGGATCGCTTTTCCTCGTTCACCTGCTCGAGACCAGTGGGATTCTGAGCCTCCATAACCTCGAATCGCCGACACCGATCCCGGCGGAGGAATTGGTCCTTGCATGAGTTCGGACTTCGTGATCATCTCCCCCTTCTCCACCAGGACCATCTTGGGGCCCGAACTTCACGTAGAAGAAGGCGTAGCCACACCACTCATAAATGCCGTCCAGGTCACAGTTGCGGTTCTCCACCCAGCTGTCGCTGACCACCTTCCGGCTCGAGGGTTGCCACGCGAAAAGGCCACCGTGATGCGGGTGCTTGAGAGGCTACCAACAGCCATCGGTGTTCGCAGCGGATGGTAGGCCCGGACTCTGGCTTTTTTCAAAGCCCTCACCCACCATTCACCTCCTCCACTTCCACATCCAAAACACTCCCACCGGTCGTTTCCAGTGGGTGGGGTGGCAAATCGAGCCAATTCCCATGGGCTGTCTGTGCCCAATCCCACATGTTTGATTGGTGCTCTCAGGGCGCAAAGCGCGGTCGCGCCCGGGCTGCCAAGATCGGCGAGCGTCTGCGAGCTGGCTGGGTTTGTCTTCCCTCAGCCCTCCTACAGAGCTGGGTTCATTTTCCCTCAGCTTTCCTGGTTCATTTTCCCTCAGCAGCTTCCCTACAGGGCTGGGTTCATTCTCCCTCAGCCATCTTGTTTCACTCTTGTTCCCGCCCTTGAACTGCGGTGTTGTGAACTGGCGTTCAGCCGTCTGGTACAGGTTCCTAGAGAAAAGAGTGAGAGCTGCCAAACCTACCGCCAAACCTACCGAGCTTGCAGTGCGAGCAAGCTGCC